ATGTGGTCCCACGGCCCTCTGTGGCCCAAAGTTAAAAACTGTTGTTCTTTTGAGGCCCCCAAGGTGGCGCTCGCGGCCCATGGGTTAAAATCTCTGTTTTATATCACATCACTTCAGTTTTTTTTTCAAGGTATAACTTCACAAAATTCAATTATAATCGAAAAATGTTACAAATAAATTAAAAAAGCATTAATAATTTGAGTTTAGCTCCAGTATAAGTATATTTGTAAGTGCATTTGATTTAACATCTCATTGCAACAAAACGGCTGCATCAGTAGTCACCTACGTATTGGGACAGCCTACAGCGTGGGGCGATGACGCAAGCAGCCAACTAATGCGGCTCACATCAGCTGCAGCCCATGAATTGAGACGCAGCCGCTGTATATCCAGTGATTCTGTTTTACAATTATCGTTTAACTGTTCAGCWGTCCATGAGATATTTTGCTAACAGAGACCAACAAACACAGAAACATAGACAAAACCCTGACGATATGAACATTTATTATTAAATTAGCAAGAAAGTAACTGAGAAATAATCTGATCTTCTGTTTCTACTTGTAAAAATACTTGACAGTCCTCACAGAGGCGTCTCTCATTAAAGAGGAAATGAAAAACATGCAGTTCTGCGCCACTTCAGAGGATCACTTTACTTATTTTCTGTCAGTCCAAGTCTGAGAGAGACACATCGTCCTTAAAGACTCGGTGCTCTGTTGTGACGCTGCAGAACACAGGGTCTGAGTTCATCCTGAGGGCTGGAAGAAAGACGGGACGTCACCCCCCCCAATTCCCTCCATGTCCTCCATCCCTCCTCGGCCTCGTGCCATTTTTCTTCCCTCCGTCAAAGTGTTTTTACCCGCTGGCATCCCTGCACAAGAGTCCATTAACTCCAGACCTGAGTGGAGTGTTTGTTTCACTGAGGGCTGTTTTTCTCTCCTCCTGCAGTTCCTGGAGGCATTGCTCCGGAGTCCTTGACTTTCACTCCGCTTGACGACATGATCTTCCTCAAGTGGGAGGAGCCTGTAGAACCCAACGGTCTGATCACACAGTATGAGGTAGGATTATCCTCAGAAACACACACACATGGATCCTACAATGACTTGCATGGATGTTCTACTGAATCAGGATGTTTTCATAGACAAATGCATGAATTCACTATGACAGACTGAAGACAGACACGAGGTTCCTTACATGCCTTCATTTAAATATGCAAATATGCACCATTTGTGTGATTATCCTCTCACACATGTCTACATGTGGGGATAATTCAATTCACTCACCTTCATTTAACCAGATAAAACCCATTGAAACCAAGATCTCTTGTCCAAGGGTGACCTGGCCAAGAGGCCAGCAGCACTCGTCAGAAAATGGATGGAAATTCATTCAGAGCCCTTGATGAAATGCATACATGTCAACTTGTACAGATTGTCTGTAAGTTATAAAGATTTGACATCATTTTGCAGGTATACAGACGTATAGAGCAATCTCACGGATTTTTTCAAGTCTTACGGATATTTTAAAAACCCATCCATCCATCCATCCATCCATTTTCTGTACACGCTTCTTCCTTTTCAGGGTCACGTGGGTCACTGGTGCCCATATCCAGCAGTCACAGTGAGGGGCGGGGTACACCCTGGACAGGTCGCAAGTCCATCACAGGGCCACACATAGAGACAAAT